CTGACAAACAAAAAAAAAACAGCTTGCGAAGCAAGTCTCTTGAATTATAGTACTTTCCTTAAAAAGGGGGAAAAAAGCAGACAAGAACCGAGTAGTCATAGTTAAGTTATTTATATTTCTAAAATAGTCACTCTATATTATGAAATAGTTCAGCATTTGGACCCAAACTATAAACTTCCCCTTCCTCTGAAGGAAACAAAAATCTTTTGGAGGTTAATTGATGAAGATCTTGGCACCAGAAGAGGCTCTGGGGAACTTGGCCAACCTTCTGGGGAACTTGGCCAACCTTTTGCCACCCTCAGATGTTTCTCAAGCTCAATGTTAAGTGAATCAAGCACTTTGGCATTTGATAGCAAGAATCCAACCAATTCCATATCTTTCTCCAAGTCACAGAGGTCCTTGACCTTCACTCTTTTGAGGCAACCCAACCAATCCGACCAATTCCATGTCTTTCTCCAAGTCACAGAGGTCCTTGACCTTCACTCTTTTGAGGCAACTCAACCAAGTGTGAATCGAAATTGTTTGTTGTCAAGTGACTTAAGTAGCTTATACCAATTTGATCAACGAGTTGTGTTTCGCTATAAAGCTAGAAAAATAATAAGAGTGAAAAAGGTCCTCAAGAAATCGAAAGCAAGTGATAAAAGTACAAGAGAAATAAACAAAAGATAAAAGCAATGCGAAATGACTATCAAAAGAGGATGGAAAATTCTGAGGAGCAAATCTTGCTAGTGTTCACCGAAATCCTAGAGGCTCAAAAGGTGGCAACGTGGATGGAGGCTTTGGATGAAGAATTTGAAGAGAGAGGATGTAGAGCAGCTAATGTTGAAGACACATCCCTCGAAATTCTGGCTATGATAATTTCTAAAACCATTAGTTCTAAGTCTAAAGGACTACACAAACCCTAGTAAATCATAGAAAACATAGACCCAGTATAATTGTCTCAAAATTGCTCAAAACCTATCTCAATTTGTAGTAGACCTTGAGATTCTTCTAACAGTCCAAAAATTTCCTAAATCAGACCTACGGTTAAAATGATCTAGATAATGACATTTTAGTCCCTGCTTACTAAGCCTAGGGCGACCCGCACGACACGAGGTGTGTCGTGTTGGCCCGCTCGACCCGCATTGCGTTGGGCGTGCACCCATGCCCGTGTCACGTGGCCTGTTAGGCCCAGGGGCTCCGAATAACAGAGTAAACACACTTTTCTAATTAGATGAATCCAAACAATTCAGATAAATTTGAAAAAATCCGTAAAAAAACCCAAAACAATCAAGAAAAAGCCCCACTTGAAGCCTAGGGACACCCTCTTCCAAAACCCAAAAAATACATCATAAAAAGAAAATAAGTTCCTTATAAATTCTTAGAAAATAGGCAACAATTCCCGAAATTAGGAAAAATAACCCAAAAATACATGAAATTAAAAAAACACTTAGAAAATTCATAAAAAAAAAATAAGAAGAATCCCAAAAATTTCCAAAAAAATCCCAGAAAATACCAAAACTCATATTTACGAAAACCCTTAGGAAACTAAAGAAAATCTCCTCTAAATTCCAAAAAACCTAGGTAAACCCTACTTAAAATTCTCAAGATTTCCCCCTGCCGTAGGAACCCTAGATCTAGATCGAAAACCTTAAATCTACCGATTCCAGTAAGCAAAGTCGTTCAATAGGAAACTAAGGAAAAACTCTTCAAAATTCCAGAAAGACCTTAGATCGACCAATTCCTCCTTGCCTTAGGAACCCTAGATCTAAGTCAAATAACCTTAGATCTAGCAATTCCAACAAGAAAAGGCATCCAAAAGGAGATAGTGGTGCAACTCAAAAAAGCAGCCTGATCCAAGCCCGAAACTTCAAATTCCGGGTTCCCTGATGTAAGTACTCTTTCTTTAATTAATTTTTGTTATTTTTAATATTTAATTTAGCTTTATTTATGTATTTTTCTTATTTTTTATTTAGTAAAATTTTAAAAGAAGTTTTAAAGAAAAATATACAAATTATGAAGTTGGCACTATCAGTAGACCCAAGAAAGAATCGGATATGAATAGATCCATGTCATTCTTGGGCCCATAATTCAAGCGACCCCACTTTCTTTTACTTTTTTTTGAAATTTAACTAAGTTTTACCAAGATTTGTGCAAATCTCATCCCTGAAATCGGTGCAGATCGGAGTGTAAACACGCCCATAAGCGACCAATGTCTCTTTCATTAAATCGATACAAATCGCTATCTTAAACCAATGCTCTCTCTCTCTTCCATCAATATTCTCACTTCCAAGAAAACTCTCTGTAAAATACATGTAAGTCCATTTTTTAATCCCAAAACTCTAAGAGCATTAAGAACCCCGAAAACATTTCTCTTTTATGTAAAACTCTGGAAAAGAATTATATATAAACAATATAGAATTCTAATGAGTTAATTTTAATGATATGATTGTTTTGTTACTATGACAATATGGATCGTATTATATCTTAAATAAATTATAAGATGCAACAACTCTAGCTTTCTCTGTATATTTACTCCAAAAAATCATACAAAGTAATAAATTCTTTAGATATATAGTCTTACAATTACAAAAGCCCCTATTATGACACGCGTATATACCTGAAATGATGTCATGCAAGAGACATGAGCCTAAAGGTGTATCACAATATTGGCTCAAAATAGTGTTCAATAGATAAGACCAAAAACGTTAATCGAAGTTGCAACAGCAGGAAATTTGAAAAACACTCCCACCAGATGCAACTCTAAAATCAAATTCAAATTAAGAAGCGAAAAGAAATATTCAAGGTTTATTTTTTGAAAATTCATGTGTACATTGAACATTTTAGTTGTAGCAATCATTCATATGATTAATTTGACCTTGTATTCTAATCAACAATTGTGCTATTAGTCGGAGCCTGTCAAGAATGTGTTTAAACTTTACAGAAAACTTTGCAAAATCAGCCACAGTGGACTCCAATCTGCTAAAGATATCATATTATAGTGATTGCTATATCATCAATCACTCAAAAAAGTGAAGAAGCCCCCAAAGGATAATTACAACTCAAATCATGCTCGTATCAAGAAACCTTGATTTTGCAGGATTTGATAAATTTATCTGAACCATCTACATATTTAGCCCAAAGAGGTCGAAGTTGAGCAAACGCAATATCGAGCCAGGGCTTGGCCCTGCCATTAAAATGGATTACGGCTGCTTTTTCAGCTGCTTCTACACTAGTGTTAGCCTGGTAGCCGAGCCCCAACATATGCCAAAACGGGTCAATTATGTGGACATGGCCATGGAATGCGATCAAACCTGGTGGCAATGTCCCTAATTGCCATAAGCTCAAGCCAGACTTCAAATTCTGCAACAGCAAAGACAAGTCAATGAAGCATATGGTATCCAATTTGCTTTATTTTAAACCGACCCTTTTCGAAAATCACTATTAGTCAATGATGAGGACGTGTTTCCTTGGAGAAAAACATATATGTTGGTATGAGAAAAGGTCAATGAATTTAATCGCTCCTCAACACAGATAACCATGTAACCAAGTACCCAAAATAGTGTGTATAGCTTCACATATAAGGTATCCATTTCTCAAAAAACAATAAAAATAGAAGTTATAGCTTCGCATGTGACTAACTAGCAAATTCTTCCGTCAGCTACTATTCTTGTTAATATAAAAAATAAGAGATTTTATGCAGATTTTATGCAATGCATCATTGTAACGGTTATATTAGAAAACTTTAAGTTTAAAGTTACCTCTAATACTCAAATCTCCAAAATAATAACAATACAAACAGGCAGGTTGAGGTTTGTAGAAGATGCTCACCTTCTACTATAAAAGTAAGGCATAATTTTAAATTTTGCTTAAAGATGTAGTTCAGGTCATAGACCTTACGATGTCTTAAAAGTCCATGTTAAACCCTAATTATAAATTTTAAAATTCTAAAAATGGTGTAGATTGAGCATATTTATAATACTTATAGCCTGTTACAAGGCACTATTTTTAGGACATCAAATGCCTTTTTTTTTTCTTTTTCTTTTTTTCTTCTTTACATCCATACATCTTGAGGTTAACATGATCACTTGGAAGTTTTCCAGTTTTGCAACAGTCTTTTTCTGCTGGATTTTACTTAACTTCTATAGTTGCAATCTTATATAAACTTTTTCCTGGTATTTCATGGTCAAATTTTGGGAGTAAGGTTTTCTAACATCACTGATAGAATGGTATTATTGCAAAAAAAAACAAAAAGGAAAAACAAAACATGCACCCCTTTTACATATAACGTAAGGGGAGTGATTTCATGAGCAGTATGACTTACCTGTTGAAGCCAAGAATGGTAAGTTTGGCTGATATTAGTCTTCCTCCATGCCTTCAAATCAAAAATATTCATGCCATAAGCCCATGCACATTTCTCTGGGTCAAAATTCTGTGCAATTAAGGGGTGGGAGAAGTTCAAATAGCTCCTCAACTTCTTTGACATCACGAATTTGTCATCTCCTTTGCATGTCTCCACTGCCCCATTTACTTTTCCTTGAAGATCAATGTCCCAAAGAGGAGAAAGATCGCTTTGAACCACGATATCATCATCGAGAAAGACCACCTTGTCAAGGCTTGGAAAGAGCTGTAATTTATAATGCATTCCATTAGTGTGATGAGTAGTATTATTTGGATACAAAATCTAAAATAAAATTTTTCGAATACTGTAACATTTCAAATTTTAAGATTTTACATTCAATGGTTAAAAGTGATTGTGTTTAAATGGGCTTTAAATCAAAATAATACTAGCTATGCATGCCAACAAACAAAACATTATCTCACTAATTCTCTCTCACTAGATAGGACAAATGCTCGCGAAAAAAAAGAGAAGGCAGAACCAGGGGCACACCTCTGGTAGATAGATGCGCAGATGATTCATAACCGAATTATACTTGGGACTCAGTGCTTGAAGCTTGGAAGCCACCACATAAGGCCTGTCACTACCATCCTGAGCTATCGCGATAGACCCCCCTCGATATTCGGCCCGTATCTTCTGGTCCTTCTCCATGGCCTCCAACACCGGCACCTTACCTTTCGTAAACCAATCAAAATGGTGCAAGCCCCTCACCTCCACAATGGCTGGCGAAAGCGAGTGCAGAGAGAACCATGCTTGCATCGGTGCATATGTTTTTCTATCTGTGATAACATGGAGCACCAACTTTTGAGGCAGTAGGAAGTTTTTGACAAGAGAAGAAGCCACTACTGAGGCTGCTAAGACATTGTCTGTGGCGAGAACAAAGTGGAAGAGGGAATTGTCGACGAGGGATGGGACGGACTCGGGCACCGGAAGTTGAAGGCGGGCGCCGGAATTGGTGGAGTGTTCGGCAGCCAGCCTCAAAGCGAGACAGTGGAGGTTTTTGGGGATGCTGGTGGATGCTACATGGCGGTAGAGGTACTCCTGTATCTTTGCTGCCCGGGTCTTCTGCTCTAGGAGCTCCACCTGTAGAGTTCATGGATAAGTAAGGTTTATTTATTTTTATTATTGTTTATTGTCATGATCATTATTATTAAACAATGATGAAACTTTTATGTCTTTGGTTGTTTATACTATTTAATTGCAAAAAATTAAATAAAAAAAACATGAGTCATCCATTAAAAATGAAATCTAGAAAGGCTGGAATAAGTTTGAAAGAGCGATCATCTGCATTTTATGGGTGTTTTGAAATTAAATAAAAAAAGATATAAGTAAAGTGTTAAATGGTTCATCTGATAAGTAATTTGATAAACTTCCGTGAATAATATAACCACAAAATGTTAAGATATTAAGTTTAACAATTAAATATAACATCGACATAAGAAGATATTAGTTTAACCATGATTGATTCTGTAATTTGAACGCCAATTCAACTTAAAATAAAAACTGGTTTCTTTGTAACATTGTTCAACTCGACAAAACTTTTCCCATTTATTATTCTATCTTATGATAGTGTTTCAAAGACAACAGTGTTGAAATGGTTACTGCACTTCTAAGAGGCTAATTCAGTTGTACCTGAGCTTGGTCATGTATATGTTTTGCATTGCTTACACACCTAAAAAGGACTTCTGATGTGCAAGTTTACTTTGGTGACAAGCTAGACAAAATCCCAATACAAACACATTTTCTTTTTGAAACATAGATCTTCCCAATTTGAAGGATTTGTCCTAGATTTTTTAGGTTAATTATTTTCTGGAAATGTTTGTGGACGGGTGAAAGGGTGCACAAGCAGTCTTCCAACAGTTGAGATATATAAAGGCCACAAATTAATTCTATATATTTTTTTTAATTTTTATTTAAATAAAATATTTTTTTGAATATTTGGGTGTAGGTTTATCTTTATAAAGAGAACTAGATAAAAATATTTTAAATACAAAAATAACCAAGTTACCTTTAATCTTATTTTGATCAATAGTTTTTATTCAAAATATTTTTATTAATTCTACTTAGATTAATATCTTTTTAAAAATAAATTAAAAATAAAAAACAAGATTCATTTTTAACCCTTTGATGAAGCTCGTTCAATTTGAACCATTAAAAGGTGCTTGTGCACCTTCTAAGTGTCCACAACATATGGTATAATACTAACCCTTATTTAATTACAATAACGACAGAGTTGGCTACCGTGTTTAAGGTTTCTTAACCCTTGTTCTATCATCTTAACACAAAATGACAAAAAGGGCTTTTAGTTGTTCCTCATTATTAATCATGAACAATGTGCTCTGAACAACCAAGTAAGTGTATTTTTTTTATTCAGTTGAACCCTATTTGGGTCAAATTATTGAAATCCCCTAATTGTTTCTCTCCAATCCTGAACCAAGTCAGAACCCCCCAAAATATTAATTGAGATGATTTCACTCTTGTGATATTTTTTTAAAGAGCCTCACCTTGAGAATAATATTTTCCTTATTCTCTAAGGGGTGCGGTTTCTATAAGGTTGCAACCTTAAACAATCCAATTAAGATGCACCTCCAAATTTTATCATAACATGCGATTTTGATGTAAACAAATCTTAGGATTATCTGAAAACCTATTTTTGTATCTATTTATAAAATTTTAAATTCTAAAAATGGTTAAAATCAAGTAGATCTATAAATAGATGAAAATCTTGAAAATGGACGGTCTAGATAATGTGTTGCAAGATGCACTATTTCTAGTACTCAAATTCTTTTTTTTTTTCATATTTATACATCTCGATGTCGAGATGGTCAATTAGAGAGTTTTTCAACATTAAAACAACCTTTTCTGATGGAGTTTTGAAGTGTCTGTGATTCTACATTTTAAGGTTGCATCTTTTATAAACTTTTTCTTTTTTTAAATAACTTCAACTTTAAATAAAACTAAGACTATTGATTTTCCATTTAATTTGAATATTTATAAATATTTTCTATCAATTCCCTCCACACGCGCACCACGCAAATCACGTTCCGCAAAAATTTGTTGGTATTTAGGGTTATATCTTTGCTTTTGCAATTTTCAATTATGATATGAAATTGCATATAGCTGCATAGGTGGGAAAATTACCTAACTATTGGATATGAGCATATATTATACTCTTTTATGAGCACGTATGCTATGTTTCCTCGGGAGCGAGGGGCATAGTTTATTTATAGTCCCTTGGTCAGATGATTACTTGAGAGGATTTTGTTAATTTGGAATTTTGGTAACCACCTTATAATTACTAGATGATTATTTTAAAATAAAACAAATATGAAATTTGAGTTTTGGGACCCTTGATCTCTCCCTCCAAAAATTGGACAGTTTATCTTCAACCTTGAGGTATTATTGTTTTTCAAGTGCTTAAAGGGTACAATTAGGATTTTTTTTTTATTGAGGTTAATGTATGTGCTAAATAGGTAATATCTCCAACATTTGGGGTCCAAAAGCTATTCCTAGATATGCTTTTACCTGAGGGAGTAAATAAACAGTATACTCGTGAAGGAGAAGAATATCTTTTTGAGTCATTTCCACTCAATACGTTATAGCTTAAAAATTGATTGAAGCAGCCTCAAAATGGAAAACAACTCATTGATGACAGTTTTTGGTTCCGAGTACCCAACTTAAGCCTGGAGTGTAGGATGTTTTCCCTCTTGAAAATAGCTTCCCATACTATGGATAAACACCACAATTTTTTAAACCTAGAGAGGAATAGGATCTAACATTTGTGGATCTTTCCTCTCCTCAACTCTCATAACCTGCTAATTAGTGCTACTTGAATAATCTGATCCTGGGACTAGATATGAATCTGTTCCTAAGAAAAAAAACAAAAAGGCAATTTTCTTAATTTGAGCATTCCATAAAACATGATGGATATAATATTTATTGATGAAAATAACTAAAACTACCATTTCTTTAATCTAAGGAGTGAAGCATGAATGAGTACCATAGCTTTCAGCTTGAAAGCAAAGGTTTTGGCATTCGATCGATTGCTCTTCATCTCTGCAACAAACTTCTCAAGGGACTGTGGAATCTCTGCAACGTCCAATGCCTTTCCTCCATCACTGCCTTCTAACACTTGATACATTTCTTCTGGAACCATCTATAAAATTTATTTTTTCTTCATTAATTTTTAATCCGTAAAGACCCATTTTTTAAACTAATCAATGATATATAGGTAGCTGGGGTGTCAATTTTACCGCTGAGCCTCTCCGCCTTCCCCAAAGCCTTGGTCCAAGCCTTCTCCCCATGCATCCTGAAACCAAGAAGGAAATTTAAAAAGAAAATATAACTAGACATATCTGGTTCATCGGAGATCATTCTCAACAGAGATTTTTGTGAAATCCGCCTTCATACTTTGCAAACCATGAAGCCAATTTCCCACATAACATTGTTATTTTGTATGACCATCATCAGCATCACGAGCACAAAACATAGTATAAGATGTGGCGAAGTTTTACTACCTAACAGAACCCATTTATTTTATCAGGGCTTGGGATGGGTTAAGGGAAAGTTTAACATCCTCACCTTTTATTAGACTACCATTTTGTATGGAAATATAAACATTTAAATTTTTTATACTTCATTGCCATGAAACAAACATGGGCAAGTGGCTTGGTCAATGGAAATCTTTCTTAGAAAGAGATATTTTCCACATATCTTAGGTGAATGAAATTAAGAAAGATGTGAGGGTCTTCTCTGTGAATACCACATATTACTAGGGTCCCTTTTATGAAAACTTTGACTTACTGCATGAACTAGGAGAGTGAGATGATAAATAAAAATTTTAAGGAGCTTGTTAAGAGTTTAGTAAAACAGGGGTTGTTGGTGCTCTAGTTTCTTAGGAAAGCTCTAATCAATTGAAACTCAATACGCTCACCTAATCAGTTGAAATTCTGATGCCCTTAGGAAAAGAGCGTGGGCTTCATTGGTTAGCTCTTGACGAATTGCAAAACTATTTCTATCAAGGGTAGGGGCCCTCGTCCCAAATATAAAAAAAAAAAAGCAGAATAAAAAACAAAAAAAAAATCAAACTCTAATGCCCTTTTTATCTTTCTTTTTGGTGGGTTCAATGCCAACTAACCTTGTGCTCAAGGCTTCTTTTTAGCCCTAGACGAGCGAAACAAATTTCTCTCTCCATGTTCCACTATTGTGGAAATTAGGAGTAGCCAAACGATATTCTACTCAAGTAGAATGTCCATTTACTCCCTAGGGTAAAACCCCAACTAGAATTAGTTATAGGATCTCAAATTTTAGGATGTAACCTCTTCAACCCATAGATTAACCTCAATGCAAAAGATTTTTTAATTGTACCTTTTATGCACTTGAATAAAATAATATCTCGAGGCCATCCAATTTTTAAAAGGAAAAGTTTATATAAGGTTGCAACCTTCAATGTAGAATCACATATGCACCTCAAAAATCTATCGAAAATGTTGTTTTAATGATGCAAAACTCTCTAACAGATCAGCTTGACATCAAGATACATGAATATGAAAAAATGTTTTTGAGTCCGGGAAATAGTGCAAGCAACGCATTATCTAGACTGTCCGTTTCAAGATTTTCAAATATTTATAGATCTACTTGATTTTAACCATTTTTGGAATTTAAAATTTTTTAATTAGGTACGAAAATAGATTTTAAGATAATACTAAGAATTTTTTACAACAAAATTATATGTTATGATAAAATTTTAAGGTGTGCCTTAATTGGATTGTTTAAGGTTGCAACCTTATAGAAACCACACCCATTTTCAAATAGTAAGATCTAAATGTTAGAAAACTTGAATTCAATTCTTTTTTTTTTTTTTAAATTAATCATCTAGTGATTCGTAAGTAGTTTTCCAAATTTTAGATTGCAAAATTCTCCTAAATATTGTAGAACCATACGTTCCAAGTAGCATAGTATATATGCTCTTATTCGTATGCGCTCATGGCAAATATCACTTCAATAAAGTTTCTTTATCTTAGAATATTAAATTACATAATTTTGAGTTATTTCCTTAAATGAAATCAAAAGTTCACAATTACAAAATGAAAAATGGCTTGATAAGGGCCGCAACCCTATCAAAATAAATAAAGCTTTACTTCATAACATATCAAAAATTGCAATTCAAGTGTTGAAAAACTTTTAAATTGGTCATCAGAACTTGAACATTATGATTGTGCAAGAAATTAAGAATTTAAATTCTAAAATTAATGAATATTGCAACAAATTATCTAAACCATCCATTTCACCTTAAAAATAAGTGTTCTCGTATCTGCAATATCTATAACATTTTTGTTTCAAATTTTTTTGTTAGTATTGGAAATTAATTTTAGAATCATCATGGAGATTTTTGATGCTGAAAATGCTTTTCAAATGAAGATTTGATGTGAGGCTTTAATTTATTTTCATAAAGTTTAGCCCAATAAAAACTTCATCTGACAAAAAAAAATGTGGGCTAAGATTGTAAGTAACATTAGCGATAGTCTTAAGACTGCACGCAAGTTGGAGAGAGAGAGTAGAGGGAGAGAGTTTAGGGATTGAGAGGATCTGGGAGGAATGACACGTGTCCTTTCCTTACCTAGAGTTAACCTTGACATGGTACCATCTATTAAACGTGGAAGACCATGGATCAATTGATAATTCCATTTTTCACAACAACCTTCTTTTTATTTAATTTCAACAAAAATAAGCAAAGAAACTTCCACCCAATTGGAAGAAATGCAAATTCAACAGAGAATACATGTCTTTCATTTCTTTATAACATTACAAGGCATAAACCGAAATAATTAGTACAGACAAACATGCGCTTTTGTTTTTTTTTTTTTTTAGGAAAGTGTTTTTTAAAATATAGAAGTTCTATCCTCTCCTTATCATCCAGCCATTCATTTTTTATCAAGAGAGTCACTCATCGTTTGATCTTAGATTCGACGTCTCGAAGTATTTATTTTTAGTTTTTTAATACAATTTTTCTGAATATAAAATTTGGTATGTGTCATCTTCTCATTGGGGTGCACCTATAAAAGATATTAACAATAATTTTTAGATAAAAAATAATGACCAAAATACCCCTTAAAACTTTCAAAAGTATTTTGGTCATTTTATTTTATTGAAAATCTTATTTTTATATTTTTCATTAATGAATGCGAGTTTAATATAAGAGTGGACGTCCAAAATTTGATTTCAAAACAGTTTATAGAAGAAAAACAAAAACAATACAATGTAGAGACATGATATCGTGATTGAGACAATCTTAACCCTCTTTAAAAAAATTAGACAGTTGGATAAGAAGGAGGATAGAACTTCTATGTTACACAAAACATAAAAAGCTTCACCTTTTTGAAATCCCATAACAAGTACATGTCGGATACAATTAAATGGTGAGGGGAAATACAATTAAATAGTACAACTGTCACATGCTTGAACCACGACACCATACCTCTAAAAAAAATTCCTAAAGACCAATTACGGTTGTCAGTATTCTACTTGGGTAAGCATGTCCCCTAGTGTGTAGTTTATTGTACACATGAGTGACATTCACCATTCCATGTAAATAATAAGCGGTTGAAATCATTTGGTAATGGTCAGGGTTTAATTAATGGGTGTGGTTTATGTAAGGCTGCAATTTTAAACAATCCAATTAGAGTGCTAAAATATTTATAGGATTATTTAAAAATTTAAAATCAAGTAGACTATAAACATATGAAAAAACTTGAAACTAGATGGTCTAGATAATGTGATGCAAGATACACTATTTTTAGGGCTCAAAATCTTTTTTTTTTTTTCATATTCATACATCTCAATATCGAGATGACCAATTATAATGTTTTTCAACATTAAAACAACTTTTTCTAATGGATTTTTAAGGTGCACCTTTATTTCAACATTTTAAGGTTGCAACCTTATATAAACTTTTTCCTTAATTAATAGGGTGTATTTTTATAAGGTAGCAACCTTAAACAATCAAATTGAGGCCGCCTACAGATTTTATCATTGCTGTAACTTTTGTATCAAAATTTTTTAGGATGGCTTGAGAATCTATTTTGATATCCAGTTATAAAATTTTAAACTCTAAAACTAGTTCAAATCAAAACACATGAAATCCTTGAAAATGGACGGTCCAGATAATTTGTTGCAAGATACATTATTTTTGGCGCTCGAAATCTTTTTTCTTTTCATATTCATACATCTCTATGTTGAGATGATCAATTAGAAGGTTTCCAACATCAAAATAATCTTTTGTGACTTTAATTCTACACTTTAAAGTTGCAACCTTATATAAGCTTTTTTCTAATTAATATGCTCCATCCATCTTCATCACAGGAGGCAGATGTTTCATATGCCTTATACGTGTAGCGAATGCCTCACTTCCATCTTCATTTTGCACAGCATATATTTTCAAAACTGAAATTCCTATTTACATTGATGATGCACAGTATACAATGCGCCGTTTGGATATCGACCGTCTGGTATCTCACACAAGGGTTGCATGTATCCATCGATCTAGTATTCAAACTATACTCAATTCATATTCTTGAAAAGAATTAAAAAATATATATGTTTTACAGCAAAAAAGAAAATAAATATGTTGGAGGGAATAAAAACAAAGAATATTTTTATCAAGAACTAAGCTACCAATATTTTGATATTTCACCCATTTATCAAAACACACATGAAATATGAGCTATTTTAACATATGATTGTGTTTTCTAATGGGATTTTGAAATTAAATAAAAAAAATAGTCGAAATATCAAATAATTCATCTCTCGAGTACTTTTTGATAAATTTTCACGCGTACATAGAGAGAGAGAGCTACCTAAGGAGGAGCACTTGTCTTCTCCATCGAGGGAATCGATGGCGGTGATCACGAATGCGAAGCGAAGGAGAAAAGTGATGAAGAGGAGGGTGTAGAAGAGGGTCTTGTATGACACTCGCCTGGACCCAACCTTCACCTTGATGAATTCCTTGAACCCTTTCCCTGTGGAGAGTGTCACATGCCTTAGGCTCGGTGAAACGTGCAGCTGCATCTCTGTCTCTCTGCAAGCAACAAGACTCCTAAAGGCCTTTTCCATCTTCCATGCCGAATAATACGTATATTTTACAGGGTTGGAAGGAAGGCATTCTTCTTTTATTTTCCAAAATTGTTACTTTCCTTTACCAACCTCGGCTGCATACTGTAGATGTTCTTCTCCCATTTGAAATGCATGCGTTTGTTATTACAGCTTCAAAGGAAAGCATGGTTTGATAAAACATCCTTTTTCAGTTTGGCCCATCAACTACTTATGCGTGTTAGACTTTCCCCCTCATTCTCTCTTTTTTTTTCTTTTTTCTTGTTTTTTTTTTCCCTCTCTCTCTAGAGTTCTCTAGTTTGCCGGTGTTCCTCCGATGTTGCAATTTGCCAATCAAAGAGACACCGTGACTGAGATTGTATCTTTGACGAGTTTGAATGGCCCTACTTTTTGAATCTTCTCTCTCTCTCCAAATTTTTTATTTAGTCGTTTTCTCTCTTTAAATTTTTCAATTAGTGGTGTGTTTTTTTAGTAATATGTTTTGGCTTAAAATGGAAGTGGAGAAGGATGGGGGGCTGCTATCGGAGGGCGGGGCTTTGCCAGCAATTGAAGTCGTGGAGGTTGGAAACATTGAAAAGAAGGAACGATGGAAGGTAGAGCGTCCTTCTGCTCTTGTCATAAGTTGAAAGGGAAAGGGACAGTATGGGTATGTTTGTCTTCTTCTATACTATGCTCCTTTCGGAGCATAATTTATTACTCACCATGTCAGAACAATCTGAAAATTTGGGAATCATTTAGGAATGACTAGGTGATTATCTGAAATAATAAGACAATTATAATATGAGTTTTCTAACTCATAGATAAGAATTCCATGGTCTCTATTAAATTTCGAGACATTATTTTGTTCAAGTTCATAGAAGGTACAATTAGGATTTTATTTTTTATTGAGATAAATCTATGGGGGTGACAAGGTTAGTTTCCCAAAATTTGAGGTCCTAAATTAATTCTAGGTGGGATTTTATCCCAACAGAGTAAATCGATATTCTACGTAGAATATTTTTTGGCTTTTTCTTTTTGCCATTTCTTGTTAAGAACCCCGTACTAAAAAAATCATAGTTAATAGTAGCTGACAGATGTAAGATCAAACGTGTTGGGGTGCACCAGAAAGTCATATTTATTTGGACTTGATCGCAGTGAATAACACACCCCAACCATCCGATTTTAAATTTGGACCTTCCCGTACCAAGGTAAACAATCTCATTGTATAATATTGCCATGACTAATCCAATCCGATTTTAAATTTGGACCATCCCGTACCAAGGTAAACAATCTCATTGTATAATATTGCCATGGCTAATCCAATGCAAATAGGAAAGGGGTAGCACCCCCATAACTAGTTACCACCTTATGATTTTCAATCCTGTTTTTCCCACTAAAATACTCAAAAAAGTAAAAAAAGCAAATGCAAATAGGTGAAATTTGTTATTTTAGTTTGCTTTTGTGTGCGAGCAAAATGGGTAGGGTGGCAATGGACCCGACCGGACCCAAGACAAGATGGGATGGGGTCCAAAACCTGGACCCAAATACTCTTCGGGTCCAGGTCCGAGTTTAGCCGGATACGACCGGTACCTATAAATCGTTGGAAATAAAATACTTTCTTTTAAGCCCTATCCGTTTGGGTGCATTAAGGATCTTATACAATAAGAACTCGTAGTCATCTTTAGCTACTAAATGACAAATTAGAAGGCTTGAAATCTAACGGCAGATGATTGTAACATTGTTGCCAATATTATGGATATATGATGGTAAAAAAAAACGGGAGAAAAAAAAGAAGCTCATAGTCATTGGGTGACAATGGACCCAACCAGAACTGAGACCCGATGGTATGGGTCCAGTTTTTGGACCCGAATTTTATCTAAGTTTGGGTTCGGATCCAGCGGACCCGACCTAATGCCACCCCTAAAGAGAGATGGTGGAGGGAGGAAGAAATTACCCTTAACCGAGCAAATAAGACCACATTTCTAGTTTCACTTAGCTTGTCTGCATGAGAGAGAGAAAGAGAGAGAGAGAATTTTCCTTGACTTTGGAGTTTTCAATCCTTTCGTAGGTGTTGTATTTGATGGAAGATCACCAATAGTCGTTGCATGAACAATTACCATGTTTGATATGGTGAAAACGAGACCTATCCCTAACAATTATTTCTCTACCATACACTTGAGACACCAAGTTCACCACCCTGTGGCAATCATCACATATCCTCAGATTTTTCACAACACGAATTGGGGTCCCATTTTTTGTGGTCATCAACCCAAAAGCAATCGCCAACTTCTCTCTGTGGTAATACAGCGATTGCTCCCTTTCCTCCTCAACAATATCAAATAAAACAGGCATACCATTTGGAACATACCCTTTCTTCTTCACTTGCTTCATAATTTCATCCAGCATGGCATATAACTCGTGTGAGAGAATGTGACTTATCCCCCGCAAGAAACTCATGAATTACACCACCAACTTCAATTGAGCTCCACCCAGGAACTGACTCAACCCTTCTTTGTTTCATTACCCTCCTCACTCTACCCACTCCATCCCACCTATTGTTAGAAGCATAAATGTTAGAGAGAAGCACAAGCCCCCCACCATGCTTAGGCTCCACTTCTACAACGTAGTCGATGATTCTCTCACCTAGTTCAATATTTCCATGGATTCTACAGGCACTGAGCAAGGCCCTCCATATAGCACTATCAGGCTCTATGGCCATGCCTTCAACGAAATCCCACACCTCTTCTAACCTACCGGTTCGCCCCAAAAGATCAATCATGCACCCATAGTGCTTGATCCCAGGAATAACACCTCATCTCTTGGAAGATCCGACGGCCTTCATTTACCAATCCCGAATGGGTACATGCATTAAGAACGCCTATGAATGCTATGCTATCTGGCTTAATCCCCTCTCTTAACATCCTATTGAAAAGCTCAATGGCCTCTAAGCCATTTCCATGCATGGCCAACCCTGATATCATACTAGTCCAAGCCATCAAATCTTTACCATGCATAATCCTATTAAACACCTTAAGCGCATTATCAATACTCCCACACTTTGAATACATATCAATTACTGTTGTGCCCAAGCTATAAGTTAATGGGGTTCCGGATTTTTTGATATAAATATGGATCCATTTGCCTTGGTCAAATGCACCCAAATTCGAACAAGCTGAAAGGGAACACACCAGGGCCAATTCATTAGGTTTCACAAGAGCATTTTGCATAATAGAGAAGAGCTCTAAGGCATCTTTATATTTCTCACTCCTAACACAAGCTGAGATCATTACGCCCCAAGAAACATCACTTCTTTCAGGCATCTTATCGAACATTTGGCGTGCAGCAGAAAGGTCACCAGATTTTGCATACCCATTCACCATTGTCGTCCACAAAACCACATCTCTCTCTAAAATTTCATGAAATAGCTGGTGAGCAACTGACATTCTATTCAAATTGGTAAAGAAACCCACCAAAGAATTCTTAACATGAGAGTTCGATTCGGGCCCATATTTTATTTAGTACCAACGAGAAACAAGCCTCCCCTTCTTCAGGTGATGCCAGCCTAGAACAGGCTGCAATGACAAATGTGAAGGTGTATTTATCGGGGGAGATTCCTTTATGGAGAATAGAGCGGAAGATAGAGAGAGATTTTTTTGGAATGTGGCTCTTTGAATAAGCTTGGATCATGGTGTTGTAGAGGATTATGGATTGACTATTACAAACATCAAATATGGTTCTTGCACAATTAAGGTTCGGAGGTCGAGAAATGACGCAAAACCGGATGAGCCAGTGTAGAAGAGAGATGTGATGGGAAAGTCCATGGGTGATTGCATGGGAATGAATTTGTTTCAGTTCTGAGAATTTGGAGCACTTTTGTAAGAGGCGAAAGACTGGGTTCAGGTTAGATGCGGTCGGTGAATCGTAGCAATGAGAGAGCGAGGAGAAGCAGATCAATTTATGGGTATTGATGAGTTTAAATTGAACAAGAGAACGGGTTTTGCTTGTTGTCGTTAAGAGAAGTAAGGAGAGAGGAATAAAAGGCATTAAGAGTCATTTGATTATTAATGGTTTCCTAATTGCAGTAGAGAGAGAGAAAGAGAGATATGCATGCATTAGTAGAGGAGAGGAAGAGCGTAATTGTCATCGTTTTCAGGCGTTCTCGAGGAGGGAGGGGACATCAAAAAGTAAAACCAGCGTGTGCCGAATCAACTGAGTTTGTCTACAGCTTACTCCCGCTGGAGCAAATAACATTGGCCAAAAGATATTCTACTCCTGTAGGAGTAGAATGTCCATATACTCCCTAGGGTAAACCCCATGACTTTATTTTAGGGCTTTTAAATTTTGGGAATTTAACCTTTTTAACTCACCTCATAGATTAACTTCAACTAGTAGATTTACATACATTGCATGTAGAAAAATAAGAAAAAATAATAAATAAATATAATCAAAGAAAATAATTTTAAACAATATATAAATCGTTTTTAAATGATAAAATTTAGATAAAGAATAACATTGATTTTTTTGTACTTTAAATTTCTTGAAAAAATGAGTCATAAATAAATTTCAAAAAGAATTTAAAATACAAGATTTGGAAAAATAAATTAAAAGTAGCAATAAATATAAGGGTGCGGTTTGTATAGAACGGAAGCTCTAAACAATCTAAGTAAAATGCACCTTCAAATAGTGTCGATAATATTGGGTTTGGTGATAGCCAAATCACCGTACCCATATTTTATTCTTAAAGATTACGAATATTATCGTAAAAAAGAAAATAACTTTCTTGGGAAGCAAGAAATTGATCTCTATGTAAGAGAGTTAAAGAAGGCATAATACCCATTCTTTTGAAGGTCACTTATTTGTGGGTTATGGGAATGGATCTCCAAAGAGGAGATGGTTCTCCAAGAGAGAGCCATGACCTCCAAAAGAGAGGCGCTATTCTCATGGTTTTGGGATGGTATGGTTTCCATTTCTAAAGAGAGAAAATCTCTCGATTGCTCTCAAGGTTATCTTTCTGATAGCGGTTATGCGGTGGGAAAGAATATTTCGATCGATGATGTTGCTCGATCAGGAGATCAAGGTTAGAAGGGAAGATCAATTAGAGGTTTTTACCAATGTCTAAAGAGATGTAATATCTTTTGTATCCCAAAACTATAATTTTCATTGTGATAATGAATTTCTATTTGCAAAGGCCATGAATGTCTACGGGGTGTACCGCGTATTGTGTGTTGTGGTGGGGTATTTTTTTTATGTTTGCTTTATTTTTTATACTCAATTTATAGTCGTATTCATGTACTTCGCATTTTTTCTATTATGTACATGATCTTGGATGGGATCCTGATATTTGGGATTCATGGTTCCGTAAGAAAGAGGTACCCAAGAACCGTACAATTGGTATCAGTTCACTAGGTGTGTACGAGGCTAAGGCTTACAGTAAGAAAGAGATGAATGACGAAGTTTGATGGCTATATGGTTTGAGGTGGAGGACTATTGAGGCAAAGTGTTTGTAAAAATTCCACAATGGATGCAAGTGAGAATAAATTAAGAAATCTATTCAATGAATGTTATCAAGGAAATTATGGTGATTTTGCTCTCAAGGTGGAGATTGTTGGGTTTGGTGATAACACCATACTCATATTTTATTCTAAAAGATTAAGGGTATTATCATAAAAAAGAAAACGACTTTCTTGGGAAGCAAGAAAGTGATCTCTATACAATGGAGTAGAAGAAGTCATTGGTTAGGTGCCTCAATCTTGCCCTCTAGATCTAGATGATCAGGTGGCATGTATCTTAGATTTCTAGTGAACCCAGATTTGAGATTGCTC